CACTTAGTAGGCAAGCTACACTTAGTAGGCAAGCTACACTTAGTAGGCAAGCTACACTTAGTAGGCAAGCTACACTTAGTAGGCAAGCTACACTTAGTAGGCAAGCTACACTTAGTAGGCAAGCTACACTTAGTTGGCATGGTAAAAAACACCAAACAAGTCCTAACTTCAAATAATTCTAGTAAGAAATAATGTTCAGTGCAACATTTGAGAAATACTGCACCTTGATTAAGCAAAACATCTAATTTAAGGGCAGTATTTACATCTGACTTTCATTAACAGTAAGGAGATTTTAGTTAAATATAAATTAAGTGGGAGTAGAATGTCAATAAATATGTAGTGATGCAGAAAAAATGTAATTCAAGAAATTATAAAATAAATATGTCTAATGTCTCTCTTTTATTTCTTGTTCCTTATTCACTAAGGTGTGACAGTGTGGTTTAAAAATATCATTTCATAATGAGCTAAAGCTTAAAACTATCTAAATTTCTATAATTACTTCATGGATTGACAGGGTGATCTCTAAATTTATATAACAAATATCAAAATAATTCGAGATTTATATAAACATTAAAGCCAATGGAAGAAAAACAATGTCAATCAAAAATAAATCGAAATTGCACAAATTAAATTCCATATGTTACCTAATTAGATGACAAATTATCCATAAAATATAAATAAGTAATTCTCAGATATCACTCATTAATCTGGAATTTAAAAAAAAATACTATTAAAATGATATGTCAATATGTTAATGTACATTATGAACCTAACTAACAAATTAAATTACAATGTCTATTTGACTTCTAAAGTGATTGCAGATTCGTAATAAGTGAGCCAACTCTTTCTTAAATTACTAATAATATTAAACATAAATACTGTTAAATTTCCACAACTATCACAGAGTATAACATAATAGTCAACAAACTTAAATCCACAGGATTTATTTATTGGTAGTTGGTAGTAAATAAGCCAGGTAGTTACCGCAACATTAAGAACTTTTAAAATGTAGCATTCAAATTTGTTTAGTTTTGTCATGTTTTATGCCCCCTCAGACGCGATTAGGCCTCAAGCAAAAAAAAAAAAACAAACCCAGTGATTTCAAGAGAATCATGTGAATTTCACAGTTTTATATTAAAAATAGGAAAAATTAGAAGTCTATAAAAATAGTAATTGTTTTGAAAATGTATGGATAAAAAAAAAAAAAGGAAAAAAAAAGAAAGAAAGAAGAAAAAGATATTAAAATATAACCATAAAAAAAAAAAAAAAAAAACCAAGTAATTTCAAGAGAATAATGTGAATTTCAAATTTTTATATTAAAAATAGGAAAAATTAGAAGTCTAAAAAAATAGTAATTGTTTTGAAAATGTATGGATAAAAAAAAAAAAAGGAAAAAAAAAGAAAGAAAGAAGAAAAAGATATTAAAATATAACCATAATAAAGTACCTTTTTTGAAACAATGATTATAAAGTTATTTTAATGAGACACATACAATTTGTGTAAATAAAACAGTATACATATACTATATACATTTTAACTTTAACTATCAAACAACAAAATACAAATATCGGCTAAACTAGGCCAAACATGCTCTTTTAAAAGTATTTTCATTGTCATTGTAATTACACAATATTTCAGAAATTGTTTTGATATTATTATTATTATATTTAATTTTGATTGATCTAAGTTTGATGTTCAAAGTGCTGTATGTAAATCTAGCAGGAATAGAATAAATAATGATACCGTTTCAACCCCCGATTAACAGTGTTGTCAGCACTCTTCTCTAAAGCCTGACTGGGAAGAAAGAGATTATGACTAAGTGAATTTTTAATGTGTCTTCCGCTCACTCACAACAGTGGCCTTCTAACACTTGGGCCCCATCCTAAATAATAGCTTCCTCAACATCATCAATTTCCTCCATCCAGTGATGTGGCTTGCGGTAGAACTGCAACAATAGTAAGGAGTGTTAGTTCAACCTCATTAAAGCTAAACTGTCAAGAAACATATCACACAAAATCACTTTAACATTTGCTAATGAGTGTAACTTGCACTGATAAACCTATCATGAGTAACTGGGGATTGTTACGTAAAATACTACCATTAAAAATGTATTCATATACCTAATGAATATTCCCTTTTAATACTTCATTTTTTCTGGGTAACAAGTTAATTTCAAAAGTAACAGTTAATGAAACAGTTAATGAAACAGTTATATATAATATGACTAGGAAATAGTTGTTTTTTTAAACAATTAGTGAATTAGCCATAAGCCATGGATTTTTTAAATGTAGCAATGCATGTCAATTTTTAGTACTTTTAGACTGTAAAAGCAACAACAACAACAAAACACCCCAAAACAAACAAACAAACAAGTAGGCACACTTTCTGTTAAGTTGGCAGACTTACATGGATGTCATTGATTTCCTTGTAGAACCTCTGTGTTAGAGACTCTTTGATATCAGACGCAAGGTTAAGCTCCTGGCCCAGGTAGATGATCTTGCTGACAGGGCACACTATACATGCAGTGCCTGCTCCAAATACTTCCTTTACCTGAAAAGATCAAAGCTGAAGATGAGAACAGAAACTGCAGTGAACAGCCGAGATACAAGCTGAAGTTGAGACCAGAAACTGCAGTGAACAGCCGAGATACAAGCTGAAGATGAGACCAGCAACTGCAGTGAACAGCCGAGATACAAGCTGAAGATGAGACCAGCAACTGCAGTGAACAGCCGAGATACAAGCTGAAGATGAGAAACTGCAGTGAACAGCCGAGATACAAGCTGAAGATGAGACCAGCAACTGCAGTGAACAGCCGAGATACAAGCTGAAGATGAGACCAGCAACTGCAGTGAACAGCCGAGATACAAGCTGAAGATGAGATCAGAAACTGCAGTGAACAGCCGAGATACAAGCTGAAGATGAGACCAGGAACTGCAATGAACAGCCGAGATACAAGCCGAAGATGAGACCAGGAACTGCGATGAACAGCCGAGATACAAGCTGAAGATGAGACCAGAAACTGCAATGAACAGCCGAGATACAAGCTGAAGATGAGACCAGCAACTGCAGTGAACAGCCGAGATACAAGCTGAAGATGAGACCAGCAACTGCAGTGAACGGCCGAGATACAAGCTGAAGATGAGACCAGCAACTGCACTGAACAGCCGGTCCATCGGCATTGGACAAAGTTAGGTAACTCAGACAAACTTTTAAAAAGTAATTTACTATAAAGATTTGAGTCGGGGGAAAAATAAATTACATTCTGGAGTTGAGATAATTAAGTTAAAAAAAAAAATATCCGTTAAACTCTTCACTTTTAAATGGTGGCTATAAAGTGCACCAAGCAGTTTTGTAAGCATTTATTTTAAAAGCATTTATCCTGTAATTTCCGTGTAGAATTGAAATACAATCAAACCAGATACTCACTTTACACAATGCATTTTTTTAATACTAAAATGCAATTGTCAGGAAAACATACAAGACACGCAAAAGGACAACCCAGGAAAACATACAAGACACGCAAAAGGACAACCCAAAACATACAAGACACGCAAAAGGACAACCCAAAACATACAAGACACGCAAAAGGACAACCCAAAACATACAAGAAACGCAAAAGGACAACCCAAAACATACAAGACACGCAAAAGGACAACCCAAAACATACAAGACACGCAAAAGGACAACCCAAAACATACAAGACACGCAAAAGGACAACCCAAAACATACAAGACACGCAAAAGGACAACCCAAAACATAGGCACAATTATACGGACGTTTTTTTTCTCCAAAATTTGTTAAATATTTTTAAATGTTCACTTTCTCCTGCTCCCCACAGCCACCCCCCCCCCCTTTTTTTCTGCATTCACCTCTGTGTTGCTTCTAAAAAATATAGAGAATGCAGGAACATTCGATTCTAAATGTTGAAAGAATGCATGTAGATGAAATCTCTCAAACCAAAGTATTGTCTCACTTACCCGTCCTTCATTCAAAGCCTTGGTGAACCTCTTCATTGTTATCACTTGCTCGGACACCTTAAACTCACCCTGTGGGTCAGAGAGTGGAACATTAAATAGACACGTAGATCCTGTTTAGTTATTGGATTGAAAAAAAAAAAAAGGCCCCGTTATTTTAAAACAACCGCTATAAGGGCGAAAACAATGTTTGGGCGCCCCACGCGCGGTATGACCTCGCCTAACACTAGGTCGGAATGTTGACCTCAGGTATCTCTTTCACGCCGGTCAGTACGGCCGGCTTCTCTCGCCCATCGGGGGGGGGGGGTACTTAAATACCACGATGTGGGCTTTAGTTACAAATTCAATCATTTATTTCTCGGGAACCCTAGCGTATTAAGTTATAAATTATATCTAGTTAGAAAGGGGATTGTATTCACTATTCCGTAGCATATTTACAAGTCTCCATCGTTGGAGGATATTTTAACATTTAGTCAATAAAGGGGTTTGCACCTCCATCCATAGGGGTCCCCACCCCTTCTAGTTAAAATATCTCAAAAACTAGTCAACTTATAGAAATATAAAAATAGCATCTTAGCGAGCTGAGACAAAACTGCACAGATCCTATATAAGTCGTTAGGGCCTTGGTTAGGGATTTTAATTATTACTCAGGTGTCGTTCCCAGAGTTGGGCATTTTACTCCAGGAAATCGGCCAGAAGGCAAAACGTAGGCCGAATAGGTTTCGGTGTGACGGAGGGGCTCTCTCATATGTCCGCGCACGGCTTTATAAAGGGGTGCACACTATGTAGGGGGTCATTCGAGATTGGACAGCATCCCTGAAGTGTGCCATTGTTCAGTGCGGCCCATTGGAACGCTCTATATTGTCCTTTTTTTTTCTTTAGCATTTCCTTAAGACTTTTCCTTAGGACCCTTTTCGTCATAGTGAACTTTTCCTGTAGAGTATAGTCCTCGAGACCTGAATTCCTTCCTTTTTTTATTAGTAACTGTCAGTGTCAGTCTTGGTACACCCAACCACCATCACCAACCTTTACCCAAGGACGTCACACTACTACATACGATGCAATTTTTTTTTTAAATGTATGAATTTTACTAAAGTATATTAAATAACTTTCAAATTTTATGAAGAATTAAGCAAAAATATCTATTAAATGAAGTCATATAAATCTGGATTTACCCTTTTTGACACCAGAACAGATAAAGTTATGGTCAAAAGACATTATACTTAATTTAGTTTCCATTTTTGCCAGGTATAAAATATTTAAATAGATAACAAGTATTTTAATTATGATAGCTTTTGAGCGACTAATCCAATTTAAAAAATAAAATAAAAATTAACATGTCTTAGTCTAAAACATGATAATCAGACCACAAAAATAAAAGTCATTAATTTTTAAAAAAGCAGTTTTTTCCTTTAAAAAAAGTAAAAGATAAAACTACTAATTATTTTAACTTCTCCAAGTTTGTTATACAAACGCAACAACAGAGGCCAGTATATTTTACCCATTGTCTGGACAGCTCGAGCAAAGATTTTCTGGTAACTCCGGGTAAAATCAAGCCAGTCTCAAGCGGTGGTGTAATCAGCTCCTCCTCTGTTTGACATAATACAATGATAAATGAATATTAAGACGCTAAATCAAAACCGAAGCACTCACTTACGGAGGATCAACAAAATGACTTACCGATGATGAACAAAAGCAGAGCACTAAACTATGCACAAGTTGATTCTGTTTAGAGACTTCCTAATTCATTTGACAGATTTTAAATTGGCAACCAAAAGTTCTATTTGATTTGTACAATTAAGCAACATAGTGAGGCACAAACCCCAACTTAAATGCAGCACATCAGGGATTCTCAAGAACGGGTTAAAAATAACAATTGCTTTTTAAGTGAAATACATTTTGAGAAATATTAATATGCAGATGTCTCAATAGCAGCATTAAATTAAATAGACTTTACAAGAACTTAGAGACATTACAACTTAATTATATCCATATCAATAAAGGCAAAACAAACCTTATTAATATTATTTTTTAAAATTAAGGTGCTCTTTAGTACAAAATTAATAAAAATGATAACTTTTTTACCTCCTTGCTCATTGGTCCAAAAGACGAATAAATTCATGGTACCCACTTCAGTCATCTGGTGATCCTCTCCATACAACCATAAGACTTGCTGGCAGCCATGTTTCTCATTTGCAATTATCTGTATGGCTGTTGTTGGTGCATAGTTGCTGTGCAGGTAAAAAAAGATAACTTTTGGACTCATTATTAAGTCTTTTATTCCAAACTAGACGACCTGCGGCGAAGCATATGTTGCAGAATTGTTCGCTGGCTCAGACCTAGATATAGTTCGCCAAACATTGGCGACAGCAAGGCGTGAAGTTCCCATCTACTAAAGTTACTTGACAATAACGTGAGATCAAGTTACACACATTTAAGGATGCCGCCAATTTTGCTACCCCCCCCTTTTTTTTTAAAAAAATGATACTCACTGCACACTTTTAATTTCACGCCCATGAACTATATAAATATAGCCGACTCCCGGCTTAGCATACTCCGCGAGGCGAGCTTGTTGGGGTGTGCGAATGGTTGGCAAGCGAGTGGGGTGCAGGAGGGGGCGCGGTAGCTCCACCGCAGAGCGCATGTCTCGACACCAACGATGGGCAGGCAAGGCAAGGGAGGGGAGGGTTTGCCTGCGTCTTGCTTGCTCTGGTGTATCTATTTATAGCCTGCCTCTTGTTTGCCCTACTTTCGCTGGCGAATTATAGATATAGATGAATGTACTACCATAACTAAACATTTTGACTTTGTGAGATAAGTTTTTCTCCCTACAATTGATGAGTGGTTATTTCACATTCAAACATTTATTTTGTTTTTGTTTTGTGCGCCTTCTTCCATTCCCTTCCCACCTTTAACTTGAAATGGAACTTTGATTTAGAGCACCTTACCAATAGGAACTATACAGCATTGATTTAAATCAGAATTCATCAGTTACTTATCTCATCTAAAAATATGATCGTGATTTTTCAGAACTGAATATGTGTAAATGTAATTGTCCGACTACAAACAGAACCAACCTGCCCATTTTGTACATGCCACAGCCTCCTGGCCAAGCCCTGACATACTGTGGGTCAGCGAGAAGACTAATTGGTTTAAGGCCTGTAGGAAAGTAGGGTCCCACTGGACACGTGATCACAAAAAGTTTGGCCATGTTTGGAGCACTGACGACTAATCTAGGCTGAGGATATCAAATAAAATATACGCCTGGAAACTGTTCTGAAGACGACACCTCTATGTGAAACTAAAGACATTTTGCCAGTGATTTGGCATCTTTGTCTTATTAAGTACAAAAACGAGGTTGTATTACTTTTTAAAAAAAAAATGTTTAAAGAGAAAATATTCTTAATATAATTATAATCAAACAGATTTTCTATACAAAAAAGAAATTAAACTTTTTTAATTTGAAACCATTTGCTTTATTTAAAAAAATTATTCGATTTTTATTAAAGTTGAAAAAAAACTGTATTATTGATGTATTATGAATGTCAAATTATTTGTTTTTGTTTTGTTTGTTGTCTTTGGAATTTTTAAAGCCTTCCTCTTCTTTGTTTTAAATAAAAAAAATTTTCCCGAATTTTTTAAAATTTAAATCCCGTTGAAAACTTCTTGATAATATTTGGAGAGAGACTGTAATCAGGTTAGGTAGAAGGAAATATTTGAAGCAAGGTATGGGAAAAGCTGGAAAAAGGACGCAACTAAAACAACGCAATGTGACATTCCTGTTGCTGCTCTTTTGGATATCCTATTTTAGCTAAGTGCTTATTTTAGTTTTAATTTGTGTGTTTCTCCTTGTTTATTCATTTAAGAAGACATCTTGCCAACACGTTCATTGTTGCGTCCTTTTTTTTTCACATTCTCCCAGACCTTGTTCACATAATATGTCCTGAAGACTTCTTACCTCAGTGCCAATAAAAGTGGGCCGAACATACAGTGAACACTTCTGGGAGTGAGGCACCCATTCTTGATCAATGCTGATGAGTTTCTTGATGCATTTGAGAAACTCGGTTTGGTCAAAATACTGCACAAACAAAGAGAAAACACAACGACATCAAACCATGTTCAATGTTTGGCTATATTACTCACATCATATAAGAAGAACCTTACAGAGCCAAGATTATTGGAAGTAGAAGAACATTGCAATTTCAAAGTATTCCAAAGGTTTTTATAATTTGGTGAAAACTTCTAAATTTTAAACAATATAACTTTATTTTAAGCTTTTAACCTTGAAATATTATAAACATGTTTCTTACTCCTTCAGCCTTGATTATACTGATGACCCAATGACTTACTGAACTGGAAGGGTGAAGGTTAATGACATGCATTTCTCACTTACAGGCAATGATGTCCTTTTTGCAGTGTTAGCCATGCGTTGCATGTTCTCCATTGGTCGAAATAGTCTTATTTTGTCATCTATACATCTGTAAGCTTTCATACCCTCAAACAGCTGCAGTGTTGAGAAAATGTTCATTATGCATAGAGCTAGTCATGAAAACAATTATAGTAAGAAATAGGTGCGACTTATTTGGAAATAGTAGAATCACTTGAGAATTGCGTTGAAAGAACCCAGGGTTGGTAACAAGAGTTATCAGGAGTCAAGACAAAGTCGAACGAGATTCGTTGTACTTAAAAATCAGAATGTTCTCGAACGACCAACCTCACATGCATACGACCCACCTCACATACAAACAACCTCACATACGACCCACCTCACATGTATGCGACCCACCTTACATACGACCCACCGCTCATGCACACGACCCACCGCACATATGAACCACCTCACATTCATATGACCCACGTCACATACGACCCAACTCACATTCAAATAAACCCATTCACATAGGACCCACCTCACATAGGACACCCAACATATGACCCACCTCACATACGACCCACCTCACGAACGACCCACCTCATATACGACCCACCTCTCATGCTTACGACCCACCTCACATGCGTACGACCCACCTCACATGCATAGTGCAGCACTTTAGCAGCTGGGTGAATCTGTAGAGGGGCGACTGGCTTGATCTGTGGTGTGCCCCAGCCGTGCTCAAGAGTCCAGTCCACCTCGAACATGTGGTCAGAGGTGTTAGCCCCAAACCTAAGTTCTTCATCGTCTGGTTTGGGAGATGGTTTGTCTGTCAATGTGATCTGTAAGTCTTCATACTGTCAATTAAAAAAAACAAACAACAACAACGTGTATTTAATACGCACGATTTCATTATATAATTTACTCTTTTTGCTTTTTAAATCAGGTATGAGGGTTAGATGGCTCAGGTATTGACCCAGATCTAGCGAGTAGAATTCTGTTACACACAAAACTCAATGGCAGTGTGCCAGGTGAGCTGTGCAGTATTTTTCCTTGCAATGTTTCCATTCACCTTTTACAAGATAATTGGGAACCGAGAGAGTTTCCAGTGCTTAACTAGGAGTTCATTGTTTTATTTTTATAATCAGTTTAAAAGATTAATCAAAATCGCAAACACTCATTTGACGTACCAAAAAAAAAAAAAAAAAAAACAAAAAAAAAAAAAAAAAAACAACATAACAAACAACAAAAATAAAAAAAAAAGTTCATTGTTTTATTTTTATAATCAATTTAAAAAATTAATCAAAAACGCAAACACTCATTTGACGTACCAAAAAAAAAAAAAAAAACCCAACAAAAAATAAAAATAACAACTTAAGCAACGTCGTAAATAAAGACAATATTCTTTTTAGAAAAGAGAAAACTTTGACTGAATTTAAATAAATTTAAAATTTACATTAATTTGTCTTGACACGAAATACACTACAGATATTGATTGTAACTACTAGAACTGATCTGCCCAACAATGGCGACGGCATTGCATGAACTTCCCATCTACTTTGATGCTACTTTACAAGACATGCATTCAAAAGACACACTTTAAAAGAATCCCAATCATTACTAATATCTGGGGTTGTAATAAGCGTGACTGTTGAACACAGCGCCCCCCCCCCCTATTCTTTCCCTCCAATATTCGAAAAATCATATGTTTGCTTCAGCTGATTGAAATGCTTACGTCATGAATTAGGTCACACGCACAGAAACATTTAAGGGTGAACTTCAAGTTGTCATTTTGCTAACTACTACTGAAAACAATAAGCAACAGTATGAAGAGAAATACGAAATATTATTGTGTTAAAAAAAATAATTAGACTTTAAAAATAATTAAATATTATATTTCATAGCGTTGACTTGAACGGTCTCTATATTAGCCACTAGCCAATATACTCTACGATGCTCGGCACTAGCCAATATACTCTACGATGCTCGGCACTAGCCAATATACTCTACGATGCTCGGCACTAGCCAATATACTCTACGATGCTCGGCACTAGCCAATATACTCTACGATGCTCGGCACTAGCCAATATACTCTACGATGCTCGGCACTAGCCAATATACTCTACGATGCTCGGCACTAGCCAATATACTCTACGATGCTCGGCACTAGCCAATATACTCTACGATGCTCGGCACTAGCCAATATACTCTACGATGCTCGGCACTAGCCAATATACTCTACGATGCTCGGCACTAGCCAATATACTCTACGATGCTCGGCACTAGCCAATATACTCTACGATGCTCGGCACTAGCCAATATACTCTACGATGCTCGGGTTTCATTTGGAAAAAAAATGTGTTAAAAAAAAACAACAACAAAAAAACAACAATGAACGCTTATATTTAGGGCCCTCTCAAAAACACTTGAAAAAGTTACAATCAAAATTTGACGATTTCTCCAATAAAAAAAGCCAGATTTATAATAACTGATGTTGACATTGAATTTCTAGCCCAGCTCTTCTCCGTTAATATTTAAAACGGTACCAGTCATAAACCACGACTTGTGTAGACCAATCTCATTTAATGAAAAAAAGGGTATTCACTAATGCCAAATTTATATCCATTTATCTATGAAAGTAAAAGAGGATCTTCGCAACCCAATCCAAAATGAGCCATTGTAGATCTCCTTAAGATCAGTGTGACGATGGTGAGGAGATCGTAGGACGAAATCCAAAAGGCCTGGGATTATTCTTCGAGGATTATAAGTTGGTTCCCAAAAGCAAGTCGCCGCTGGATAACCCAAGAGATCATCCACATGATGGTGTTAAAGCTTGGCACATGTGACGTCGCAGGAATGGTCGGAATGTTTCATTGTACCCTTTTTTTATGCCCCCCCCCCCACCCCCACGAGACTCGTTCCGGGTTTTGAATTCTGATTTTCCTTCTCTTAGATGAGTTGCTGTCCAAGGTTAACGAGTCTCATCCACCCGTGGTGCTGGTGATGTTTTTGTTGACTTTCGTGGTGATTGAGCTCCAGACCATCAACTTCAGATTTGCTCACTTTGGTGGTGATTGAGCTCCAGACCATCAACTTGAGATTTGCTCACTTTGGTGGTGATTGAGCTCCAGACCATCAACTTGAGATCTGCTCAGTTTGGTGGTGATTGAGCTCCAGACCATCAACTTGAGATTTGCTCAGTTTGAACAGCTCGGCCACCCAACACCCTCCCTAAGATTTACACAAAAATCATTCAAGTGAAGATTCAAGTTTAATTTTCAAATTGATCCCTTTGAAATCGCATGGAATTTTACAAAGATTTTTGCCTTTTAAATTGTGACTTTTGGGACCCCGGCGCCAAAAGTACCTGATCTTAATATTTTACAGGAGTGAGTATTTTGGATTATGTGATGAACACACTTTATATTCAAAGTTGTCCCATTGAAATCATTTGAAAAAAACTCCAAATAGTCAGGGCCAGCCTCAGCCAATTTGGCAATATAGAAATCTATCAAAATTTATTGAACATTCCCTAAACTTGTAGATCCCATTGACATTTGTATACTGTTTATTTCTTTGTGGAACAACATAGAACTTTCTGGATAATTGAACACTAATATCCGGTCTCAGCAGTGTAGATTACTAGTTTACTATACAGCAGTATTTGAGTCTGGAATATGAAAGGTATGGCTACTTAGATTTGTCCATACACCCATCAGTCATTTTAAACCGTAAATTGTTACATAAGCCTACAGGTAGTTATAGAGTTTATTCGAACATAATATTAGGGACCCCATTTAATAGACAATTAAAGAAAGCTGGTAATATCACACAAATGAAACATTCTTTACTTGGAGAACTATTTTAAGAAACATAATCTTGTGAAACTTTTACATCCCACCCTCATTTACAATGGAATACTGTACAGGTATCGAAACATCGTTCATACATATCTATATCCGATCATCAAATATATTGATATAATATATATATATATATATATATATATATATATATATATATATATATATATATATATATATATATATATATAGTCTTTTTGTAGACTTCCGAATTTCAGGATAATGGATGCAGAATGTGTCCAAAAATNGGTAAAAGAATATAAAGAAGGGCGAAAAAAGTTTCTACGGACTTTGAAAAGTTCACAGAGATTGAGAAAGTATTAAACCTCCTGCTGGTGTTTTGAGGCAACTCTTTAGGTTTCAGAGGGGGGGGGGGGTAAATAAGCCAAAACATAGTGACTTACCCTGAATGACGTCATGATGTGCTTTGATCTGAAAAGATAGAAAACTCAATTAACACAATTTAATAATTACTTCACTGCGAAACATTTTTTTTCTCAAATTTCGCAGCTCAGCTTAAAAAAAATGAAATATACATTGAAAGAAGCTTTACAAAATCTGGATCAACAATAGCGAGGTTCTCAAAAAAGTATGCCGCCCCCTCCATATAAAGAAAAAAAATGACGCCTGGGCGAATCACCACATCCACCGTATTTCTATGCCATTAGCAGGGGCGTAGCTCGAGTGTCACGCATTAGGGGATAAGAATCATTTTCTCACACCCCCTTCGCCACTCTGAAAACGTTATTTTCATCCCCGCAAATATGGCGCCTTGCGAGATCCCTCCCCCTTCTGCCCGTCTTAGTTTCATCTCTGGTCACTCGCACTGCCCCTTCAAAAATCTGACCGCCCACCACCCCACTTTTTTCCAGGAAATTGTGTGAAAGAACAGTGATTACAAGTTGTTAGAAACATTGGCTTGCAAATATTTCTGGACTTATTTGAAACTAATTTAAAATTTGCGATCAGTAAAGAATGCAAAACGCAAATAAAGTGTACACTTTTTTTTTATACAGGTGGCCATATCCGACATTTGCTTAGCTGGCATATTATTAACCATAGCTGTGTGTTCTTTGGGCTAAGTAGGGGGCCATTGCCAAGTGTATGAGAATCACTGTTGTTATGTGTAGATCATTGTTTTCATGTTTGATAGGGAAGAGATGTTTAGTTAGAGATTTTATGTGTAGCTGTATCGTTTGTGTGAGAGTGTTGTGACGTAATTGTGTAGTGGGATATGACGTGTTAGTTTTCGTTGTTGATAGAGAACAGAGATGGCAGTTGTGTGCTGTTCAAGACATAGCTTGCTGTGTGATGTTCAAGGCTTAGCTTTCTATGTGTGAGGATTCAGCTAGATAGATCGTGAAGTTGAACGTTGATAAGTTTACAAGTTGTATTGTGAAGTACACTGATTTGTCAGTCTTACGAGGCATATTAAAATTATACATTGAACTCATACCGATATATCCAGTGTTTGTTGTCGGTTACACTGGTATGTGTAGTACTAAAGATGTTCCATGGTTGAGCGTCTGGATCAGAAGAGTGGATGACCACAGGACATCAAAGGTTACATTTCGACAGCCATGAAGCACATGAGCAACCTGTCAAATGTCTCAACCTCTAAACCGTCTCAACTGTCTCAACCTCTCAACTGTCTCAAATAACCGTAACATCGTTTCTCAACAATAGACAATAACAACTAACCAATAATTATGTTTATAAAAAATAAAATAAAAAAAAAAAACACTCTTGTATCGTTGAATTTAGTATATAATATATTTTTATTAAATTAACTTTAACCCGGGATTATAGGATCCCGAAATAAGAATTTCTTTTATCATGCTGTAGCGGGATAAGCAAAAATAAACAACTGATATCAAGGGTTGATATTGTTAAAAAATAACAAAGCTGCTGCTTCGATGTGAAATTGTGTTTAAATATCGAAAGGCTTCATACTCTTTGTCAAAATTAAGGAGAAATGACGCCAGGGACTTCACGTCAGCTTTGCGGCTTGACTTTCCAATAAGAACGCAAAAGCCAGTCGCAAGCTAAGACAGCCCGAACGAATAACTTTTGTGTCAGCCTGACCGAGACCTTCAAGACTGATCTCTTAGGCTGTGGCCTGATTCCCCCCTGGTAAAGAATGCAACGAAAGATGGAGTGTGTGCTTGCATCAAAGGCGTAACCGATGGAGTGTGTGCTTGCATCAAAGGTGTAACCCAAACTTAGAGAAGTCATCAGCGTGCACAGGTGTAAAGTGTTGAAAATTAGATAGCTTTATAACGTGACAGGATTATGTAATGGGATCAAGTTGACCAGATTATGTAATGGGATCAAGTTGACCAGATTATGTATTGGGATCAAGTTGACCAGATAATGTAATGGGATCATGTTGACCAGATAATGTAATTAGATCAAGTTGACCAGATTATGTAATAAGATAAGATAAGATTATTTTATTGATCCAAACAAATGGAAATGCTTTGTGATTGCGTTATATATTTTCAGCACATAAATAAAACAATTTGAACACAAGACATAATTTATAATCAATGATTTCACTAGGAAACAAAACCCCATAAGAAAAGCCCAGCCATTCAGTGAATTCTCTCAGCCATATAAGGGACTTATTAGTTCTTTTGAACATGTTTGACTTCAGTGGGAGCACGCTGGTAAATATGTACATATCTGGAAAGAAAAGAATTTTTATATCTTTCAATCCTCGCCCTGACGGAAAGAATTCGTCCCGAACGGGCCTATCTGAAGTATTTGTGGTGAAGAGGGTGTGATCAATCATCCAAAATGGGTTTTGTTTACGAAAACATCTTTCTTTAAATAGTTCTTCAAGTGAAGGATGTTTAGTTTGTGTTAATGTACCTAGTGTTCTTGATTAGTCGGTTTATGCGGTGTTAAATATCAGAAGTTGAATTCCCACATCAGCAGGTAATACTGAAATTAAGCAGGCTTCCAATTGTTGCACTTCAGAATAAGTTACCGATTGCTTTTTTTTACGCCAAAATTGTACAGTTTTTTGAGGTAGAACAGTCTTTGGTTGAATTTCTTATACAGGATTTGGCAGTGCTCATGCCATGTTAACTTACAAATAATGGTGACACCTAAGTACTTATATGCCTCTACTTTCTCTGCACTTTGGTGGCGTTTTTTTTGAGATCTGTAATCTGGGGTTTCCCCCTCCTGAAATCAACAACCATTGCCTTTGTTTTTGAGACACTGAGTTGGAGAAATGATGTAAAACAATGCATACAAATGAAAATCTTTTGAGTGATAAGGACACAGAGAAATTAAAATTATATAAAAATTCGCTATCATTGTTGGTTTATATAGTCTACACACTATGGTGTGGTAGCTAGTGGCTCTATTTTTTTTTACCTTCTGCTTCAATTACGGACAACAGACATGTGCAGTAATGACTTTAAATAAAATTCATTCAAATGATCATTTAAAAAAAAAAAAATTCTTTGCGAGGTTAGAGTGGTAGTGTTAAGATTTTAAAGACATGTATTTATTGTTGTCACTTACATCGTCTTATTAACTAGGCATTAAAAATTCATATTCCAATTCAGCCACATAGTTGGTAGAAGAGTTACTATAACTGGTAAAAGAGTGTTGGAACATTGGTGGAAGAATAGTTAGTGTAACTTAAACTCGTAAAAGAGTGAGGCAAAATATGTGGAAAAATAGTCACTAAAATATAACTGGTAGAAGAGTTGGGGCAACATAGTTGGAAGAATAGTCGGTACAATATAACTGATGGAAGATTTGGGGCAACATAGTTGGAAGAATAGTCGGTACAATTTACCTGGTAGAAGAGTAGGTGGTTGAATAGTGGAGGCAGCGGAGCTTACAGAAGAGTGCGGGCAACACATCTTGGAAAATAAGGCATACATTTTAACTAATTGATTTAAAATTTAAAATGTATACGTTTTTTTGCATATCTTGAATTAATTTTTGGAGCTCGGAACATTTTTACCAGCTCCTCTCGAGCTCCGGGCAAAAAGACCCTGCTCCAGACCTTCAAGCTCAAGCTCTGAGATTCGCTCCAAATCCTTACGTAAAACTAAGATTGAACCTTAGGTATTATTATTATTATTATTATTATTAGTGGTCTAATATAGCGCGGTACCCCAGTCTAGGGCTGCACTCATCCCCGCTGTACTTCAAAATATCAGCAAACAAAATCATGACAATAAAATTAACATTCATTTATTTAATTGATTAAAAAACAGCTATATAACAACAAAACAAAAACAGATGTATCTTCACCCCACACACCCCAGAGCTATTTACATGTCAAGCCATGGACGGCAGCCGGCACCATCGTTTATCGGTCAGAGCAGGGAATCCGTCAGGATAGTAGAGGTTAAAGAGATGTGTTTTGAGTGCAGTTTTGAAGGCTGTGATGGTCGGTATATTGCGGATGTGTAGTGAAAGAAAGCCATTGTTTGGGGGCGCAGAAAGAGAAAGATCGTTCACCAGATGTTTTAGCGCGTGTTCTGGAAACAGAAAGAATAGGCGTGTCTGCGGAGAAACGAAGGTTTCGGAGAGGTGAATAGACAGAAAGAAGTTCAGTAAGATAGGAAGGGTAGGAACCAGAGAAAAACGTTGTGACAAAGAACAGACAGTTTTAATCAGTGCGTGGGTGTGTGGGGAGCCAATGAAGTGGGTGGCTGTGTGGGGAGCCAATGAAGTGGGTGGCTGTGTGGGGAGCCAATGAAGTGGGTGGCTGTGTGGGGAGCCAATGAAGTGGGTGGCTGTGTGGGGAGCCAATGAAGTGGGTGGCTGTGTGGGGAGCCAATGAAGTGGGTGGCTGTGTGGGGAGCCAATGAAGTGGGTGGCTGTGTGGGGAGCCAATGAAGTGGGTGGCTGTGTGGGGAGCCAATGAAGTGGGTGGCTGTGTGGGGAGCCAATGAAGTGGGTGGCTGTGTGGGGAGCCANTATATATATATATATATATATATATATATATATATAAGATATACATAAGAGATGTATACTAAGAAATTGAAAGACGAAGAAAACCCCCGAGGAAAAAACACAAAGGAGAGGACCATGAAAGTACACTCAAAGAAATTAAAACTCAACTTAAATTGTATTAAACGAAAGACAGATTCGTTTCTTTTTAGTTAGGGGCGGCAGTTTTAGCCAACTGTAGAGTTGTTGTTTTTTCTTGAAGAAATCTCTTGCCCCCCCTCCCCAATGGAGCACTAACCCTAGCTTCTCTATAGCACATAGTATAGTTACCACATTTTTTTCTGTTCATTTCATTCCTGAAATAGTCTTACCTTAAAATATTACAAACTTGAACTGCTCTGGCGGCAAGATGTATTTTGAAATACAAATGATTTTTGTAAACACACAGAGTTTGAAGGAGAGTTTTCAAGGACGCTACCCGACTTCTGGAAGTGTAGGCTACAGTTAAAACATCCACGAGATGAGATTCTTTGGGTCTACACCAAGACCTATTCGACCTAATATTGGCAATATCGCGCCTGATCGCACGCAAGATACAAGCTCTGCTAACAATACTATCAAAATTGTGTCCAAGCATCCAAGAGTATCTAAATAGCTGTCGACAGCCGGAACATAAAGGTAACTAACAAGGTGTAACACAACCAGTGAAAGTAAGAGTGGCCTCCAGTGCCAGAACACTGAACAGGGAGTGATGTTTTCTTGTATTGAGATCTGTATTCACGTGGAGAAGTTTTAAAGAAGAGGAATATAAGGGAGATAGTAGAGAGAGCAAACTTTACCTGCAGGTGATACGAAATGGAGGGGCGAACCCATTAATAGATTTGAGGCATAGATTTATTTATTCTCAGGATTTACAAATGCAACGGATTATGATACTACGCTATTTTAATGTAATTAGTGAGTTTATCCATCTGTTTTTGAAGTCTACATTAATTGATATTCTCTTTTGAAATAAACTTTTATCCATATCGAAGGTCTTCTCAACCCCATTTAAGATGAGTCAAGCCACACGTACACTCCATCACACCTCCGGGCTTAACCAATCATTGCGTTCTGACAAAAAAAGTAGGGCAGGGAATGTGTGAACCAGGGGTACTCAAAGTCTGGCCCGCCGTAGGCCAAAAATAACTCACGAGAGGTCGCTTTAACCGAGGCGCAGCTGATTTCCGAATTTTAAAAAGAAATTACTTTTGTACAGAGTAGCCTGACTTGTCTCATGTGTAGCACTAAACATGGTCTCTTCTATGGCCTGACTTGTCTCATGTGTAGCACTAAACATGGTCTCTTCCATGACCTGACTTGTCTCATGTGTAGCACTAAACATGTTCTCTTCTATGACCTGACTTGTCTCATGTGTAGCACTAAACATGGTCTCTTCTATGGCCTGACTTGTCTCACGTGTAGCCCTAAACATGGTCTCTTCTATGACCTGACTTGTCTCATGTGTAGTACTAAACATGGTCTCTTCTATGACCTGACTTGTCTCATGTGTAGTACTAAACATGGTCTCTTCTATGACCTGACTTGTCTCATGTGTAGCACTAAACATGGTCTCTTCTATGACCTGACTTGTCTCATGTGTAGCACTAAACATGGTCTCTTCTATGACCTGACTTGTCTCATGTGTAGCACTAAACATGATCTCTTCTATGACCTGACTTGTCTCATGTGTAGCATTCCATGAAGATTTTCTGACGTTACTTCCAGTGCTTAACTAGAACCAAGTTGAGGAAATGTTTTCCTTTGATATCAGACATCATTACACAAAATGAAGTACCTGTTAGAAACGTATCTTTTTGACTCTCAGGTGAGTCATCTGCAGATCATTGGGATTTAAAAAAAAATATCCTTTATTTTAACTTCGCTTTTAATCGTGTCTGGTAAAATCTTAGGACGGTTAATTGACCCACTTCCTGTCAATGATGTCGGTGGACTTGAAAGATAGAATGTTGGGCACATGTATACGTTTGCATTGCTGCAAGTAAGTGTTATGTGACACACTTGTTATGATGGAAATAAGAATTCTCAAAACTGCCTTACATTACTGTTGTATGCTCCCATCCATCGAGCGTGATCTCGGTAAGCGGAATGAAATAAGTGATACCGCTGCGTTCATGTCTTTGCGGTTTTGTAAAGAGCACTGAGTTCATGGGCGTCCCACGCTTTGTTTTGGTGGTCATATGACTGTAACAACTCTGAGGTTTGGGGAGGACATTTATTTGATACCTCTTAATACTGTTTTGGGGAAAAAACTTGTCTTTTAAAAGTATTATTATGTTTTATTTTGTACTTTTTTAGTCTTTGAAGGTGTAATTGGGGATCAGGAAGTGGAGTGAAACAAGGCTGAATAGCGTGGGGCACCCATGAAATACAAACACTTGAAAAATCATTGGTGACCTTTCTCTGGTAAACATTTTGTTGTCATCATTGATTGTTACTGGGAACGAGTGGCCATGCATAAAGAAACTGTGGTGAAATCTGATGTTGACGGGGGTGGGCAAGTGTACAAAGTTTCGGCTCAATTGCAGGTAAGGAAGTATGTTAAAATAGAGGTGAGAAATTCCGCCACAAACTGATAGACAGAGCAACTTAAGAAAATCTTATTAAATGGAATTTTGATAGAATGTGCTGTCACCGGCAACGAGTCAATTTTCAGCTTAATAGGATGACGGGAAAGGGGTCGATTGGTTTCCTCAAGATTTTGCCACAAGCAATGAAACGAAAGCGAAGTCAATATAAACGATTTGAAAATGCTTTCAATAATGGTCACCCCTTGTGTACTGTCAACCAGTTGGACACGGAAGTCAACATTTTTGTGTAGTGTCTAAAAGTTGTCAACGGTAGTAAACAAAGTATACAATGCTGCTCTGTTTACAATGTTTTTTTTAACTCACTTGATTTTACGTTGAAACTAAAATACAATACAAGCGAGTTGGGTATTAATTATCGATATTATAAATATATTTAAAATAAAAATGTAAAACTATATTTATATATATAGCACTTTGCAGTGCCAGCATATATATATATATATATATATATATATATA